AGCGCTGGCCACCTACCACTCTGAGGGCGGAGATGGCGGCGAAGTAGGGGGCTCCCGTGTACCTGGAAGGCGACCGGCGCTCAGAACGGCGGACAGGCAGCCCGCACCACCTCCGGGCTCGGCCCGTCCACCCTGCACCAGCGCCGGGCAGAGCCCAGCAGGAGCCCAGCGGAGGCGAGGCCGGAGACCGCCCCCGGGCGCCCCAGGCCGCGGCGCTCACTCACTCCCGGCAGCCGCCCACCACGCCGATCCGGCCGTCCTGGCCCTTGTGCTTGCCGGAGGTCAGAGGCGGCACAATGCTCCGCACCAGCTGGCCGGGCTCCATGCTCCTCGCCAGGCGCGCGCCGAACTGCCGAAGTGCTCTGCCTGCAGCTGCCGGGCCGGGCGGGGCGGCCAGGGCCGGGGTCACGCCGAGCAGGGACTTGGGCCGCACCCCGCTGGCCTGACCCCCGCCAGAGGACCTGGTGGAAGGCAGAGACCCTGGACCCCCGCTGACCGCAGCAGCCCAAGGGACCCCGGCCTTGCGCGGTCACCCGGAGCGGCCCGCTCGGTCCTGGGGTGGCCGCAGGGCAGCAAGCCGCAGGGCGGCAAATGGTCCCAGAGCGCGGCCGCCCCCCCAGACGCACCTGCTGCAGGGCCACGGGCATTTTGCAAACAGCCGCGGCCCGGCAGGGCGGACTTCCGCGCGGTGGTAACGCTCAGGGCGCCGGGCGCAGCTCTCGGCCCAGCACCCCAGGGCCGGCTCACAGGCCACGGCCCCCCCCCACCCCGCCACCTCCACCGAGCGCAGGGACTCGCGCAGGCCTCTGGCCGCTGCGTAGCTGCCTGGACGCGGGCAGTGAGGGGGTGTGCTGTGAGTGGCCACCTGTCGCCCTGCAAGCAGGTGTCCTCGCACCGTGAGCGACTCGGGCGCCGCTGGGTTCTCAGCCACGGGCACTCGCCCCTCTCTGCAGGCGCGGCCTGCGGATCCCGCTGGGCGCGACCACGGGGCCCCACGCGCGCTCAGACTGCTCCGGCTTTCTGCCCCCGGCTCACGCCCAGGGCCCCCAGTCCACGAGCCTCCCGCAGGGCAGCGCAGCCTGGTCTGCAGCCCCCCGCACCGCAGCTGCTCAGGGTGGCGGAGCCCAAGGCCAGAGCAGAGCACAGCCCCTCCCGGGGGCAGGAGCAGCCAGGAGCAGCCCGGCCGGCAACCGGCGCAGCATCACGGTGGGACCACGCGCCCCACCGGCCCCTATAAGTGACCGCGCCGGACAGTCCGGCCAGAGGGGCCCCGGGGCCTGCTTCCCACCAGTGGCCGCTGCGGAGAGCGGAGGTCACTGTCGCCAGCTGGGCCTAGTCCAGCCGCACCGGCTCCACGTTCTGGGACACCGGCCCAGCCACGATCGTCGCAGGGGGTGCCATCAAGCCCGCTGGTGTCCGAGCGCCCGCCGGGACGGCCCTGCCCAGTCCGGGCCGTCCGGCAGCCGGAGACCCGCGGGCAGAGAAGGCGGCGCCCCACTGCCCGTCAGTCCCCAGGGCTCCCTGCAGGCGCGGTCTCCGGCACCCCGCGAGAAGGCGTCTGCAAGCCGGGGACCCCGGGCGCGGGAGCCCAGGGGGCGCTGACCCTCCAGTCCCCCGCCGCCCTCAGCCCTGGCTGGCCGGCCCCCGCCCGCCCTGCCCCTCGTCCCCCTCTCCGGTGCGCCCTCAGCCCGGCCACGCTGCCTGCCTGCGCCAGCCTCGGGTGAGAGCGTGGCTGGTTTTGCAGGGGACACCGGTGCGCAGAGTCCGTGGCTCATCAGTGTATCCGCTCTTGGATGCCGGAAGGGTCTCGCGTCTGCCCCGCCCAGGTCCCTGCCAGGGCCACTTGCTGAGCAGTGACTGATGACCATTCCTGGGATGTGTGAGCTGTCTCACGGTGAGGAGGGGGCGAGGAGCGTGGGAACCGCACTCTTGTTTAAATAATTAAAAACGCCTGGGGGTGAGCAGACGGGGCGCCCCCCTGCAGGTGAGCCCTGCGATCCTGGGGGCTCATTTCGCTCTCCCTGGCCTGTTGGGAAATTAGCTTCCTTGATTGCGTGGTAGGCTGTGAGGCTCACAGGGCCGTCTCCTTCCCCTGTGATCTGGAAGTCTTACAGCTTGTGTCGTGGCCGCTTCTGGGCGGTTCACCCCTGGTGACTGTCGTTAAGGCTTTAAAACAGACAGTGCCGTGAGGTCGTGCTCCCGCGATGAGAGCGGGCGGGCCCTGTGCGGATGCACCCCCGCCAGCGCTCCACGGCCGGTCTCCTGGGGCAGAGAAGAGCAGAGTGTGACAGATCACCATCACCTCGGTGACTTAAGCAGTGCAAGCATGCTGTTCCGGAGGTCAGCGCTCAAAGTGGGCCTCACCAGAGGAAGGTGCTGTCGGCTCTGGGTCGAACGTGCGTCCTCCTGAGGCTGCCCACATGCCTTGTCCTCCACCTGCAGGTCCAGGAGGTCCAGGCACGGGAGAGGAGGTCCGGGGGCGCGGGTCAGGCAGCACCCTCCATACCCAGCGGGTGCGGCGCCAGAGCCTCATCCCCGCTGTCTCCCAGTCACATGCACGCCAAGCTGCGGCCCCGCCGGGCACACGCCCGAGGCGGCAGCCGGGGGTCGGAGCTGGCTCCCAGCCCGTGGGCAAGGCCGCTTACGGGTCTGCCAGCACACGTGACTTGCCCACCGATGTCGTAGCCACACGCCGTGTGGCCTCGTGCCCCCCGTGAGGCTCCCAGGTAAAAGCTGGCCAACGCTGACATTCGCGGGGCGTCTCGAAGAGTCTTGTTAACAGCTCCCCGTCCTCCTACAGAAACGCAGCCGGAAAATAAACAAATCAACAAGCAGATCCAACTTGTCACCACGGAAGCTGCTTTCTGACTCTTGAATTGGCAGAAACTCAAACGTGTATCCTCAGTGAGCTCTAG